CAGAGGTATCTTCTAAGCCCATGAAGCTTACCCACCTAAAACCTGTGTTAAACTTCCCACTGGCTTGTAGAACCACCTGATTTCAGTGTACTCCAAAAAACCAAGCTTTCAAAAAGGGCACAAAAAGTGAAAAAATGTCTTATCACTGGGAGTGAGCAAAGAGGCCTTGGATGGGGAGGAAAGTGGGAGCAAATCAATTCTACTTGCTTTGGCCCCACAATGGATTTTGCAAAGTAAAGGGTGGAAAACCAATCTTGGCAAATGAGTGAGAATTTATACACTTGAAGCTCGTGGAGGGTGAATTAGGCAGAAGGATGTTCTCTTCCATCACATCATGGAGGATACAGCATGAAGGCTGCGCCCTTTCCTGTACTGAAAGGACTGTGCCAAGGATTTTTGTCGTGCTCCTCATCAAGATGAGCCCACAGCGGAAGCCAAGCCTGAGGGTGACTTCCTCAGTCCCAGCTCAAACACCCTGATGGTGGGACTGGAGTAAGACACTCCAGGTCCTGGAAGTGCCTGCTCTTGACTCGCCAGAACTGGCCTTCAGATTACGTCAACAGAACACCCTCCTCCCTTAGCCTGCTTTCAGTGGGCGCCTCTGGCTTTTTGGGGCTTCTGGGCCACCGGATCAGACAGACCTCCAGCGGCTGTATAGTAAGGCCATGCTATGGTGAGTAGGGACTGGTGACTCCCAGTGACATCACCAGGGAATCAGACAGGAAACCACAGAAAGGAAGGTAGGCCTGTCTAGGGCTAGGATTCCAACATATGAATTTTGGGGGACACAGTCCATGACATACCTAGATTTATAGAAGAGTCATGAAGGCCAGTGTAAGAGAGAACGGTGCTCACCCCCTAGGCAGGCATGCCAGTGACCTTGTACTTAGTGGGCAGGCTCCAAAGGGAATGGATTCAAGGCTGAGGATCCCCACTTCTTGGCCCCATCTTGGACCCTCATTTGCCATCACCAAACGTTGATCTAAACTGCTGTGGTTAAAGGACCTATGTGGTCCCTGACTGAGCTGTATGACCTTGGGTAAATTATTTGACCTCTCTGTGGCTGTTCCCTTAGTTGTAAATTCGATACAATAACACACCTATATCATAGGATTATCATATGAGTTGATATTTGTGAAATTCTTAAGAGCCACACCTGGTGCAGAGTTAAGCACTATACACGTTTGATTAAATAACAAAAATAATCATTATCATGTTATTATATATCAGACTTCAGACAAAACACAAAAGTGATGGTCATTAGCCATTAGCAGATATGGTAGGCAGAATTCTCAGATGGCCCCTAAATTGGGCCCCAGGTATATACACCCCTTGTGCCACTTATTCAATTAAACACTAATCTAGGCACTCATTGACGGGAGTTTGTAGGTATAATTAAGGTCCCAAAAGGCCTGACCTAATCAGGTGAACCCTTTTGAAGCACAGTTTCCTCCACCTGGCCACAGAGTCTCCTCCGACTCCAGGAGATGCACTCCATCTGGCCTGCAGAAAGCCGGCACCTGTGTCATGCACTTCCTATGACGGGGGCCACGTGGCAAGACCTGTGGATGGTCCCTAGATGCCGAGAGTAGTCCTCAGCTGACAGCTAGCAGGAAACAGGGTTCTGCCAACAACCAGTGATCTGGGAAGAAGACCCCCCCAAGCCCCAGATGAGAACAGTAGCCTCAGCCACAACCTAGATTTCAACCCTGAGAGACCCAGTCGAGCCGAGAATCCAGTCATGCCATGCCTGGACTTCAGGCCTACAGAAACTGTGAGATAATAAATTTGTGTCGCTTTAAGCCACCAAGTTGGTGATCATTTGTTATGCAGCAATAGAACACTAATACAGCAGGAAAGAAAAGAAAAAAACATATACAGCTAGCAAATGAGCAGCCAACTTTGTTCAAAGACCAGGCAACTTCCTTTAAACCCTGCCAGATTACAGATAAAGATGTTGTCACTGACAAAGTCAGGATAACTCACAGTTCAGAAAAAAGTCAGTTGCCACGCTGGGCTTGGTCCCTTGGCAAGGCGTTGTTCTCCACACACCTGTATCAATGGCAGGGCAAGGCTGACCTGCCTGCCCCAAGTGGCAGCAAGTTTGGGGGCTCCCAGGCTTGTTCAGGGGGCCAGGAGAAGGACTGTGTGAGGGCCAGCCTCAACCTGACCTCATGTCGACCTTTGACCGACAGACCCAACTCCACCTCCACTTGCAAGACCTGCTGGGAAATTCACAGGGGTTTTAGGACCCAGGGACCAGAGCGTTGGGATTGATGGAAGGAAATGAGAAGGCAGAGTGTAATGGTTATGAGCCCTGGCTTCTGCATTAAACTCTGGATCCACCACCTACTATCTGGGATTTTTTGCAAATTCCTTAGCCATCTGCATACCCATCTAGAAAATGGGGATAAGAATTGTGAAGATTTGAGGTAAGGCTTCTGAATCACCTGTGCACAGGGGGGCTCGCCATTAGCAAGCCCTCTAAACTGGGTTGTTGTTTAAGTGCTTTTAATGCTGACTGGGTCTTATACTCAAGCCCTCCCTGGGGCTGCCCTCGGGCGACAAATGCCCACCCCAGTGCCCCAGAATGGACAGCCGAGTGCCCGGTTCCTGGTTTCTGAGCCCCAAGTGTCTGCATAATGACTAACCACTCCAGCCTGGTGTGTGGAGTATCAGGCCACATCCATCAGCCCCAATACAAACCGAGAAGAGAGCCATCTCCCTTCCCTGGCCTCCTGCTTTCTTCTGTCACTGTAACACCAATTGTGCTAGCCATAGGCACCACCTGGTCAGCGCTTCTACTGGATAAAACCAAGGCAATGCAGCAAGCCAACAGTATGAGACTGGGCCACAATCAACATGTTACGTTTGCACTCTTAAAACAGACAAAGTAATTACCATTTTCAAAAGATGGTTTCACAAGCCTAAAAATTTACATCCCTCATTCATGAAGGTGTGGGGGTCCATGAAATGTCACCCAACCAGCTTTGAGGAGACTTTATGAGGCTGAGCCAGACTGTGAAGATAAAGCAAAGGTCTATGCCGCTGTAAATATAATTACATCTACACTCATAAAAATAGTCTTCCTATTTAAATAGAATCTTCTTTATGAGCATTGCTAAGTGAGGTAATTTGAAGTTCTCCTAAATTGCAGTGAGGGAGGTGGTGGCAGTATTTTCCTCTTTTGTGAGATGACCATCTATTACATGGATTTGCAAATTGGTTAATTGTCTGGAAGATGTAAGAAGAAAAATGCTGTGCTATTAATTCTGTACAGTCCTGGTTAAACTCAGAGGATTTGGCTAAGGGAAGATTAACATAAGCAAGAGTCTGTCTAATACATTTTATAAGAGAAACCAGGCTATTTTTTTAAACTAGTGTTTTCAGAAAGAAAACAATAGCAAAATGCCTACAGCTCCTCACTCCTTAGCAAATGATGCCCCCGACTAGAGTTTAAGATCCAGGTAGTCTATCTTTTCCCGGCTCCTTCGGTGTGGCCAGCCTAGTGCCTAGCATAGTGCCTGGCACAGACACAGGCCCTCACTAAGCACTTACTGAACAAATGAACTAACAAAATTTAATGAATTAGCAAGTAGCAGGATGCTGGTGTTCCTTTCCTGTCTAAATTCTGAGCAGCTAAAAATGTAAACATGATCAGATCAAGGACAAAAAAGGAGCAGGGAGGTGAGGTTCTGTAGTCGCATTGGAATTTTGGGGTACATTGGAAAAAAAGGAGGAAACCTGGTGTTAATGGAATTTAGCACCATAAAGTTTTCATTCCAGAATGGAAATTTCCAGAGCCTATACTGTAAACCATCTTACAGTGGATCATTTATGGGGAGTAACCCTTTTGCCTAAGTGGCTATGTGGCAGTAGTGCCATCTGCTGGGTAACTAGTTGAGCATTTTAGAACAATATTCTAGAGCCTTTTTGTCATAATAACAAATTGAACTTAGAATCACAGAAATTATACCAGAAATACCTTTAGAGATCATCTAGGCCATATATCATCTTATAGGTAAGAATTTGCCATAAGTAGGTAAAATAGTTTCTTTCTACTGATGCAATGGAGCCTGGAATTTTCATCTTTCAGAGTAAAGACTGAAACTACAGCCATCATTGCTAAGTTGTATTACAGGCCTCATGTGAATCAGAAGCTGAGAGGCAGTTCAAGTCTATGTGTCAAGCATCCAAAGTGGGCTGTCCAACAGAAATTTTGGCAACAATGGAGCACCAGAACTTTCTGTGATCATCTGTATGTGGGGGTGCTGTCCCACACAGTAGCCTCTAGCCATGCATGGTTCTTAAACATCTGAAATGTGGCTAATGACAGTGAGGAACCAAGAAAATCTCAACATTGCCAAATGTCTCTAGGGGGTAGCTGAGAACCCCCAGCTGAGAACCACGGGGTTAGTAGCTGCTGTATTGGACAGCATGGTTCTAGAATGTGCCTAACATGTACATGACATTTTGGCTGAGAAAAAGAACTGACCCCCATACTGTACTAGGCCAGTAGTGGCTTTGTCATAAGAACAAGGAAGGTTAAAAAGAAAGTCAGATGTAGACAAAGAAATGTCTTATCTTCCTTCTCACTTCACAGAGATGGAGCCAACATGGTGATACTGGAAAATTCTGCCTCACTCCGAAGTCCCCAGGTTAGCACCAGAAAACCTATATGCACGCGAGTCTGTCCCATGGATAACCAGACAAACGTACCTCGCTGAGTCTGGGTGTCTTCCCTGGAGAAAGGGGAGGGACCAGCACCCCTGGGATAGGTTCCTGCCAGGGCTGCATGATTTGACACGTAATATGCTCCTGGCTCAGCGCCTGGCATATAGTAGATGCTCCAACAGTAGTTGTTATTTTAGCTGCCCTCTTACAGGGAAGGAAGGAAAAGGTCTCTGTGCCTCCCAACCAACAATACAAAAGTACCCAGTGTGTTTCCATTGAGAATAAAAATCTAATGGAAAAAACTAGGCAAGCTCTATAAACCTGACTTTATTCGTAAATTCCAGCAGCTACAACACTCGATAATGTTTGCCTGTTGTTTGTGACACATCTAAATGTGGAGCAGAAACCGTTTCAGCTCCTCGGGGAAGACAAGGTCAGCGATCTTATGATGCTGTCGGATCCCAAAGCACTTCCGAATTCTAAGGCGGCAGAGGTGCATCAGAGAAGGGGGCCCTGGAGAAAGAGCGTAAGATAAGCCACACATTGGTCTCATTAATCTAAGGCTGCCCTCCCTCCCTTCTGTTAAAACGCACACAAGCTATTGCAATATCACAAAGAAATAATATGGCACTGTTTCAGACCATCTTCTAGTTTTTGTAGGAAGCATTTTTAGGCCATGATCTCCCTTTTCTGGTATCTAAATGAAATGGGTTTGTTAGGTTTTGACTTAGAACAGACTGAAAAAAATTCAAAGCTGAGTCTCACTACTAGAGGCTTCCAGAAGCTCATTTCGGAACTACAGAGCTACAGAAAATTCCCCAATAATGAAAATAAAGTTCATGTTTAATGGCTTTGTCCTCAACCTTAAAAAAAAAAGGTCGTTGTTTCTAGATGCAAATATTTTTATAACTTAGAAAGTTTAAGGTATTCAAGCGAGCTCTCAGTGAAGCATACGTGTACGTTCTTATTAAGTCAAATTTGTTTTTATATTCTGCCTTCAGAGCTTTCCCAATGATTCAACTCATAGGTGAAAAGTGAACTAGCTTGGGGAATCAAATCTTGCTTAGGGAACCAGCCAAGAGTATACATTTTAGGGCAGTGGTTCTCAACAGGGGTTGGGGGTAAGGAAAAAGGAGGGCCGTTCTGGGGGACACTTGGCAATGTCTGGAGACATTTTTGGTTGTCACAACTTGGGGGAGCTACTAGTATCCAGCAGGTAGAGGTTGGGGGGCAGCGGGGGCTGCTAACATCCTACAGTGCATGGACAGCCCCCTACTGGCAAGGGATATGAACAGTGCTGAGGTTGAGACCCATTTAAGGGGAAAAGGATGTGAAATGATCCACTCCAAACCCCCCACACCAATTTGTAATGGGAAGTCCCTTTTGGTTATTAAAAACACACACAAAAGCAAAGCTATATACCCTCAGGAATCCCCTAAACCAGCAATCCTCAATGCAGCCTGCATTTCGGAATCACCTGGGGTGGGGTGGGGGGAGGGGGTTAAACATCACGACATCAGGCCCCACCTCACAGGTATTGCTTCAGTTATAGGGCCCGTGCCTGTGGATTATTTTAAAGGTATGTGCCTCAGGTCATTTCACTGTGCAGCCAGGGCTGAGAATACAACCCAAAGGATCCGGTGGCCTCTCATTTCCTGGTGTCACCACAAGCTACAGGATAAACTGGGTTGTCTATTCCTCAGGTGACACAGACAAGAAGTGGACATAGACACAAATAGTTAAAGCAATGAAGGCAGCCTTCGCCGTCAGGCCCTCACAGCCCATTGGGAAGGCCCCTGATGGAATAAGGGCACCTTCCAGCTGCTGCCCAGAGCACTCAGGGTATATATTACCAGGCTGCTCCCCGGTGTACTCGAGGCAATAGTAACAAGCTGAGCAAAGTACACTGTGGGGAAACGGAACGTCGTCTCATCTCACCAAGGGCTGGAGAAGGATGTGACTAATCCTGTGAGCCAGATACACTGGCAGGACAACTGTAGGAGATATTGATAGAGACTTATGAAGAGCAAGAAACGTCAGGCCAAGGCTGCTGGAGAATTAAAAGCAGGACGTCAGAGTAAGCTTCGTGTAACTAGTGGTGCAAATGGAGTAGCTGGTGGTTAGTGCAAGCTGGGAGACATACAACCACCGTAGCCTTGATTCCATGTAAATAGAGCTGAAAAGCCACTGCAGCTATGTCGCCACTTGCTGGCGCCTGTAAGGACACAGGGGGTTTGCCTCACTTCACGATAAAACCCACTGAATCTATATTCGTGAACTGGCATGTTGCTTTGGGTCTCGATTTCTTTTTTTCCCTCAGCAACATTCACAATGCTTTCAGGCCAAAGTGCACTCGGGCGGCTCCGGTCGTGCTAGGCTCACAGAGTCGCTTTTAGTTTTCATTATGGGCCATGAGTAAACACTGCCTTACATGCTTTTTAGGGAGTGGTGGTGGTAATATTCTTGAATTCCTTGCCAGGGACACCCAGAGACCTAAATCGCTGTGTTAAATCCGCAGGGCTGGCTTTCTGCGCTGGCCTGGCCCCATGTCCTGTGGGCTGCCAGGCTGCTGGGAGGTGACCTCACCAAAACCCCAGAAACGACTCATGGAGGCAAAAGAAGGGGTGATTCTCTCCAGAGGCAAGTGACATTTTATAAGCCAGTGGAGTCACTGGCTGCAGTTGCCAAAATGTGAATTAAAGACATTAAAGGCAACGTAGGTATCCAAAGAATGGCTTTGGGAACTGAAGTGGAAGGAAGAGTCAGTGGAGACAGTCTGAACGTCCAGGAAGATGACCTGATGCGGCGGGGGGGATCATATACACAGGCAGGTGTGGGCGTGGGTGTGAGACTCTGGCTTCAGCGGCTGAGGCAATGCTGCCTTTGCGCATCCTTCCCAAGTAAAGAAAGTGACATCTTACAACTGTGTCAGTATAAAGATGAACATAATCCAGGTTGAGTTTTACACATTTTCTTCCTTGTGCTTTTAAAAGAAATTAAAATACTTCTGTGGGGGGGCCCCAAGCCTTGTGCCATCTATGCCTGTGGAGAAGTCAGCCCTGAATATATAGATAGAATGTTTTGGAAACAAGAAATGGTCAAACTGTAGGCAGAGTTGCCTGGGGGTTATTCCCCTGCTTAATGCAAATGGCTTTCTATTGGACCTGCTCTCCCTGTGCCTGGGCTCAGGCTTCCCTAGGGGGGCTGGCGCAGCTGGGGAAGCACAGATCCTGTGTGGGGAGCCCCGAGGCAGGGCTTCGGCCTTGAGCAGCTGGGGCAGTGGGACTTGGAGGAAGGACTCTGTGGCCACTTTACAGTTCTGTTGAGAGCCAGGCTTAATTCTCAGTGCGTCAGGAAAAAATGCATATTTAACATCAGAATCCTTCCGGTATGGAAGCTGGCTTCCAAGTCCTGCAAACCCTAAAACTTAACAAAGTCCACACTGGTGAGAAAACTGCTCTCCACCTCTAGGGGCGAGTAAGAATGCAATCTGAGGGACCTCTGCTCCCATGGCAGCCCAGCCCCGACCTCGCGGCCCTGCCCCCTTGCTTGCTGGCCAACTACAATGTGTAGTCATTGCCGTCACTTCCCACTTACGGAGAAGGGCGGACTTCGTGTTGATTGGCTTACAAGAGTGCCTGTCTTCAGACTGCTATGCATCATTATGACACTTCATGAGCTGCATTCTACCTCTGGAAACCAAGGACCCCTGAGTTCTTCCACCCCCTCTTCTTTATACAACCCAAAGAGGTTTCTGTTGCATCATTCTAAAGTATATTTTAAAGCTTTAATAATAACATTTAAAATTTTTGAAAGCTGGTCCACCCTATATATTAATATGAGATCACCCCAAATAGCCTGTCTCCAACCTGCAAAAAGCATGATGGTCAGTGACTACATAACCAGCGCTGTACTTTGAACACTAAATATCTCCGCTCCCCATACTTGCTGATGGCAGAGAAGGAGCTTTCTCAGAGTGCTGGAAGTCAGAACTCTGTAAGTACCTCCCCACTAGGTCCTGCAGGAGTCTCTACAGATTGGGGCTTAGGTTCAGGCAAAAAGAAGCACCTTCTCTCTGCAAGAGCTGGATCACAGAGCTCCCTGGAGGCAGCAACTCCATGGGCCGCTTGTCTTCAGCATTCCTGGCCTGGACGTCTGCTCCAAAGTCCATGAGCAGGTGGGCCAGCTCACCACTGGCCACCCTGGCCACAGCATGAAGAGGGGAATCCAGACCTCGACCTCTGTTCACACTTGCTCCTAAGCAGTCATGAGAACAACAGGGTCAGCGAGAAGCAGAGCCCAAGCATCCCTCTTGTCAAAGCACGATGCCTCAAAATGCCCTAACAAAAGGGCATCCATAGTGGACACAGCAGTTCTCCGGAGAAATGGGAGACGACTTGATTCCACTTAATAATATAAGAAAAATACCATTTGACAGTGTGGCTGAAGGTACAACATGAGCTATAAGCATATGAGGTTTAAAACCTCACCTTTGATATTATGCTCAGTGAAATAAACCAGGTGGAGAAAGACAAATCCCAAATGATTTCCCTCATTTGTGGAATGTAACAACAAAGCAAAACAGAAGGAACAAAACAACAGCAGACTCACAGACTCCAAGAAGGGACTAGCGGTTACCAAAAGGAAGGGGCTGGGGAGAGTGGGTGGGGAGGGAGGGAGAAGGGGATTAAGGGGCACTATAATTACCACACACAATGTAGGCAGGTCATGGGGAAGCAGTACAGCACAGAGAATACAAGTAATGATTCTATGACTATAGCATCTTACTACGCTGATGGACAGTGACTGCAATGGGAGGGTGGTGAGGACTTGATAATATGGGTGAATGTTGAAGCCACTGTGTTGTTTATGTGAAACCATCATGAGATTGTATATCAATGACACTTTAATAAAAAAATAAAATAAAACCTCACCTTTGAACACTATGCACAGATGTGATACATGTAAGAAAAATCCTGGTGGCATGAAAATGGCACACTCATTATTAATGGAGCCAAAGTATTAGCCAGTACAGACCGGAAGTGACGTTAGACGGTGAAATCCCGTCTACAGCAAGCAGCCATATTCACACACTGAGCAACTGCCACGTGGTTTAAAACCTGGGATTTGGGACTATGATCTGGACTGTGAAGAGTAATCAACTTGGGAAGCATCTCTTAGATTGGGGTGGGCAATCCTGAGACCACAGGGAACATGACAAAATCCTCTTCAGGAGTAAGGTGGGTTTCCAGGACCATCCCCAGCCAGTTCCATCTGTGTATTCTCAACAAATCCCCACTGCAGCCTGGATGCTGGCTCCCACTGGGACATAAGGGGACATGTGGCTTGGCTTGAGTGGCTGTCCCTCTAGTAAAATGGGCATCCGTGTTTACTCAACAAATGTTACCTGAATTGTTTTTGTATTGTTCTTGGCTTTGTGCGGGACACTGAACCTGGCCCTTCTGAATGCCAAACCTGGCCCTTTCCTGACTAAGAAGCTTAAAATATACTTAGAGCCATGAGAAAGAGGAAAAGAGAGAGAAAGAGAAGATCTCCTAACTCATGGCAATGGCTACCAAGTCAGTAGAAGGCAAAAAGAACTACAAGAACATTCAAGGGGGGAAAGATTACTGGAGTTTTAAAAAATAACCAGGATTCAAATAATTAGAGGTGATGAAATGGTGTTCCAACACTGAAGAAGGGACAGGACATGAGCAGAGAAGTAGGAAAGAATGATGCCACATATGCCTCTTCAAAGAAAACCTCGAATTTACTACAAATGGGACAAGTTCATTTCTAAGGTAAAGAGAATTGGTTATGGAGGGAAACTCAGCCCTAGTCCAGCAGCTGCGAGAGGAATGCAGGCTAATAATGTGGCTGGCGGGAGGAGTGAGACGGGGGGAAGGGAGGGCATCACCAAGGCCCACCCTAGGAGGGGATGCCAGCATCGCGATCCTCACCCTTCCTGATAAGTGAGAAACCTAAAGTGCAGAGTAAAATAACTCCCCCTGTAAACACAGCCCACGTGAACCCAGATCTTGCCCAACTCCACTGCCCGCCTCTTCCTTCTGCTGCAATACAAAGAGCTTGACAATACATTTAACTTACTTTTCATGTTCTTTCCTTGTTTCATTTTGTTTTATGTTTTACCTGACTGCAGAAGCTTCTTGGCACAGGCCACCTGGTGGTTTTCACAAGCCAAATACAGTGGTGTGCCCAGGTGGCTGATGTTACAGTCAATGTCGCCTCCATGGTCAACAAGGGACTCGATGCACTCCATGTGGCCTGCAGCCCAAAGCAAAAGAAAACGGTTACAGCACAAATTCTCTTAGCTAGGGAAACAACACTTCCCCATTTTTTGTGTTGAAATTTGCCACCAACTTATCCACTAAGGAAACATATTTCTTTTAGTTTGACTAGGGAATGGTTGTAAACTCTGCCATCAGTTAACAGCTTGATCGTGAGATGCGCTCTGCAGCTCTGGAAGGAATGCCACGGGAGTTGACTAGCCACAGTCAGCAACCGTCCACCTTTTTCAATTGTCTGTGGCTTTGTACTCAGTCTGGGGACAGAAATTGAAGTGAGAGTTGGGAGAGGCACAGAGGAACAGGGACTGGAGGTGGTCCTGTACAAGTAGGGGCCCAGTGTGGGCCATGGGGCGGGATGGAAACTTCCGACCCCACCAAGGGCAGGCCCCAGGGGGAGCAGGTCACCCTGGGCACAGGGACACTTGGAAGAAGCTGTCACATCCAGCATGCGCGGGGCCCAGTCTAGTAAACCGAACTTGGTAAAAGCTGAATCACTCTCCCCTGGTTGAGAACGTCGTGATTTAAATACTGCTCCTTGGTGTTTCTCTTGTTATACCATTTTAGTTCTATGTATCCCATGAATATGATGAGTTAGCATGTCTCTTAATGAATAAATGTCAATGTTTGGGGAGGTAATTATAATATGGGTGTCACATGCTGTAAGGATCACAGGAAGCCAGTCTGTAAAAAGTCCCTGGGGAAACAGAAAGCCACAAAAATACGTGACAACCAGCTGATTTCACTTACCTGTGGAATCTGAAAACCAAACAAAACAAAATGAACAAAATAGCAGTAGACTCACGGACACTGAGAAGTGACCAGTGGTTACCACGTGGGGGGGTCTGCGGGGGAAGGGAGGGAGGATGAAGGGATAAAGGGGCACAAAAATTCTCAGTCATAATATAAGGTGGTCATGGGAATAGCAGTACAGCATGGAGAATATAGCCAGTGATTCTGTAACTTACTCCTATGTTGACAGATAGTAACTGCATAAGTTGGGATAAGGATTTAATAATACAGGTAACTGGTGAACCACTGTTGTATACTTGAAACCAATGTAAAATTGTATATCAAGTATACTTCAATAAAAAAATGGTTAACTGTGAGGTGATAAGTGTGTTGATTAACTCGATTGTGGTAATCATTTCACAATGTATATGTATACCAAATATACCATTTTATCTGTCAATCATACCTCAATAAAGCTTGGGGTGGGGAAGAATTACTCCAAAGCGTATATAACATATTTCTAAAAATTCAAAAGTTTGCTTCACTTAGCAAACCTAGATGACCCTGAGACAATATTCTTTAAAGCCCTAAAATAGAAGAATATAATTTGTTCTATAAAATAACTTCATTTTTATGGTCTCATAGATTCAACAATATTTTCCACAAATATTGACAGTCTTCTATGTGCCAGGCCCTGTTCCAAAAAGATAGCAGTAAACAACATTCCAAATGCTCTAAAAGGATGGTTCTCAAACTTATTGTGCATCAGAATCACCTAGAAGGCTTGGTAAATAAAACACAGACAGCTGGGTCCCACCCCCATAGTTACTGATTTAATAATGGGCCTGGAGTAGGGCCCAAGAATCTGCATTTGCAGCCAGGTCAAGTGGATGTTTCTGGTCCCAGGACCCCACATAGCCAACTATTGCTCTAAAATAGACCTCCTTTTCCCTCTTCCTTTCAACAGTAAGATATCCCTTGGAGGAGGAGTAGAAAACTTCAATTCTCAACAGATTTACCTCTCTTAGCAGCTTCATGGATGGGAGATGCCAGATCACTCACAGGGCTGGGGGTGGCTCCATGCTGCAGAAGCAAATTCACACAGTCCTGGCTGCCGCTGACGCAAGCATTAAACAAGGGGGTGTGCCACTCGGTAGTGACGCCGTTCACCTGGAAAGGAAAGCTCCAGTATGAAGCCTTTGCAATTCCTCCCATCACAATATGGAGACTAGTTTTCCCACCCTTGAATCTGGGCTTATCCACGTGACGACAGGCTTTGGCCAATGGGACAGTCACCAACATGATGCAAGCAGAGTGCTTGCCCTTTCTTCTGCTCTCTCGGAATCCCTGCTACCATGTGAGCAAGCCCAGGCTGCCTGCTAAAGGATGAGGGGTCACATAGAGATTTTCTGTCTCTGCAGACATCCCAGCCATCCTGGCCAAAGGCATCGTGATCCAGCCTGCCCCACCTATTTGCTCTGTCTGGGGCACACAGCCACACAACACTCCCCAGCCTCCCTGGCAGCTAGACATGGCCTGAATTCTGGCCAATGGGATGTGGGCAAAATGATATATGTCACTGCTAAGACTGCCCCTTAAAAATCTTCCACTCACAGTCCTGCGTGTTTTCTTCCCCTTACAGCCACCTGGAACACAGATGACCCCTCAAGCACACATAAAAGCCACTTGTTGAAGACAGCAGAGCGACAGGATGAAGGGAGCCTGTGTACTCAAATCACCTCTGGGAAAGAGCCTCTCTGGCGGGAACACCTACACTGGAGTTTCAGCTGAGCAAGAAATAAGCTTTCATTGCATTAGGCTACTGAGATTTCAGGAATTTGTAAATTCTTAAAATCGTTAGAGTTAGGCACATCTAAATGCTCAGTAAATACTGCTTGAGAGAATATGAGAAACCCACAATTTTCTGATTAGATTTTTCTATCCCTTTTGAGCATGAAAGGACTTCGTTAATAAGAGACTTACTGCTCCCCACTTTCAAATTCAATGCCTTTGTATCTTCCTTCTCCAGTATCTCATTATGCCATCCTGATTCTCATGCTCTAAACAACAAGCATATACCGAATCTCTCTCAATCCTCACACTGCAACAAACTAAGCAACGTTTTTGTTCATTTTCCTCTTTTCTCAGATACAGACTCTAAATCTCAGAGGCTAAGCAACTTGCCCAAGTTTCCAATATTAGTAAATGTTAGACATGGTCTGGGACCATTTCTCAGGTCTTATGGAGGCAAATGTCCTATGTTTTTACAATATTTCACTACCTTCCAGCCACAGAATGAAGGCAGGAAATCTAACCACTATTTATTGGTAGTGGCTGTTAAACTTGAGCCATGACTTTCTAGCTAAAAACTCAGTATTTCATCTATCACGAAAGCAAATAAGCTTGATGGACATAATACCTTTGAACAACACTTCTCTTCATATTTCAAATCAGACTAATCCAAAATGCCAGAAATTATTCAGAAGGGATAGAAATAGTCATTTGCATTCATGGTTTCTAAGATGTTACTTGAGCTGAACTTACCTGAGCTCCATGCTTTAATAAAATGTTTACACAAGAGGGATGTCCTCCGAGACAGGCGTCATGGAGTGGGGACACGTGATCTGCTGTGAGGAGGTTCACCGGCCACCCCTGGAGGAGGGGAAATGGGCAGGGTAAGGGGTACAAAGCAACAGCTCCATAATGTTGCTTTTCAGCCACAAACCTCGTACTATGACAACTCTTTCAAAAGTTAATCTGCCTCAAGGAAAACCAACTAGGCTATCATCAGACTTCTCAACAGAAACCTTACAGGCCAGAAGAGAATGGCATGATATATTTAAAGCAATGAAACAGAAGGGCCTTGAACCAAGAATACTGTATCCAGCATGACTATCATTTAAATATGAAGGAGGGATTAAACAATTCCGAGACAAGCAAAAGTTGAGGGAATTTGCCTCCCACAAACCACCTCTACAGGGTATTTTAAAGGGACTTCTCTAGATGGAAATACTCCTAAGGGTAAATACATGTCAACAGAGAAAATAAAATCACAACAAAGAAAGCAGACAAACCAAATACTAACTAAAGGCAAAAAAGAAAATCAACTACTCACAAAAGCAGTCAAAGGAAACACAAGAGAGCACAAAATAAAACACCTAACATATAAAGAATGGAGGAGGAGGAATAAGAAGGGAGAGAAGAAAAGAATCTCCAGACAGTGTATATAACAGCTCAATAAGCGAGCTAAGTTAGGCAGTAAGATACTAAAGAAGCTAACCTTGAACCTTTGGTAACCACGAATCTAAAGCCTGCAATGGCAATAAGTACATATCTGTCAATAGTCACCCTAAATGTAAATGGACTGAATGCACCAATCAAAAGACACAGAGTAATAGAATGCATAAAAAAGCAAGACGCATCTATATGCTGCTTACAAGAGACTCACCTCAAACCCAAAGACATGCACAGACTAAAAGTCAAGGGATGGAAAAAGATATTTCATGCAAACAATAGGGAGAAAAAAGCAGGTGTTGCAGTACTTGAATCAGACAAAATAGACTTCAAAACAAAGAAAGTAACAAGAGATAAAGAAGGACATTATATAATGATAAAGGGGTCAGTCCAACAAGAGGATATAACCATTATAAATATAGAAGCACCCAATACAGGAGCACCAACATATGTGAAACAAATACTAACAGAATTAAAGGAGGAAATAGAATGCAATGCATTCATTCTAGGAGACTTCAACACACCACTCACTACAAAGGACAGATCAACCAGACAGAAAATAAGAACAGAAGGCACTGAACAACACACTAGAACAGATGGACTTAACAGATAACTACAGAACTCTACACACAAAAGCAGCAGGATACATTTTCTTCTCAAGTGCACATGGAATATTTTCCAGAATAGACCAAATACTAGGGCCACAAAAAGAGCCTCAGTAAATTCAAAATGATTGAAATTATACCAACCAATTTCTCAGACCACAAAGGCATAAAACTAGAAATAAACAGTACAAAGAAAACAAAAAGGCTCACAAACACATGGAGGCTTAACAACATGGTCCTAAATAATCAATGGATCAATGACCAAATAAAAACAGAGATCAAACAATATATGGAGACAAATGAAAACAATAATTCAACACCACAAAAATCTGTGGGATGCAGCCAAGGCTGTGCTAAGAGGAAAGTGTATTGCAATACAGGCCTACCTCAAGAAAGAAGAACGATCCCATATAAGCAGTCTAAACTCACAATTAATGAAACTAGAAAAAGAACAACAAAAAAGGCCCAAAGTCAGCAGAAAGAGCGACATAATAAAGATAAGAGCAGAAATAAATAAAATTCAGAAGAATAAAACAATAGAAAGAATCAATGAAAGCAAGAGCTGGACCTTCAAGAAAATTAAAAAAAAATAGATAAGCCCCTAGCCAGACTTATCAAGAAAAAAGAGAGTATATGCACATAAATAGAATCAGAAAAGAGAAAGGAAAAATCAGTATGGATACAACAGAAATACAAAGAATTATTGGAGAATACTATGAAAAATTATATGTTAACAAACTGGATAACCTAGAAGAAATGGACAAGTTTCTAGAAAACCTTCCAAGGCTGACCAAGGAAGAAACAGAAAATCTGAATAGACCAATTACCAGCAATGAAATTGAAGTGGTAATCAAAAACCTACCTAAGAACAAAACTCCCGGACCACATGGCTTCACTGCTGAATTTTATCAAACATTTAGTGAAGACCTAATACCCATTCTCCTTAAGGGTTTCCAAAAAATAGAAGAGGAGGGAGTACTTCCAAACGCATTCTATGAGGGCAGTATCACTCTAACACCAAAACCAGGCAAAGACACCACAAAAAAAGAAAATTACAGACTAATATCCCTGATGAACGTAGACGCAAAAATACTCAACAAAATACTAGTAAACTGAATTCAAAAATACATCAAAAAGATCATCCATCATGATCAAGTAGGATTTATGCCAGGGATGCAAGGATGGTACAACATTCGAAAATCCATCAACATCATCCACCACATCAACAAAAAGAAGGACAAAACCCACATAATCATCTCCATAGATGCTGAAAAAGCATTTGGCAAAATTCAACATCCATTCATTATAAAAACTCTCAATAAAATGGGTATAGAGGGCAAGTACATCAACATAATAAAGGCCATATATGACAAACCCACACCTAACATCATACTTAACAGCGAGAAGCTGAAAGCTTTTCCTCTAAGATAGAGAACAAGACAGGGATGCCCACTCTCCCCACTGTTATTCAACATACTACTGGAGGTCCTAGCCATGGCAATCAGACAAAACAAAGAAATACAAGGAATCCAGACTGGTAAAGAAGAAGTCAAACTGTCACTATTTGCAGACAACATGATATTGTACAAAAAAAACCCTAAAGAATCCACTCCAAAACTATTAGATCTATCTGAATTCAGCAAAGTTGCAGGATACAAAATTAATACACAGAAATCTGTGGCATTGCTATACACTAACAATGAACTAGCAGAGAGAGAAATCAGGAAAACAATTCCATTCACAATTGCATCAGAAAGAATAAAATACTTAGGAATAAACCTAACCAAGGAAGTGAAAGACCTATACCCTAAAAACTGCAAGACACTCTTAAGAGAAATTAAAGAAGACAGTAACAAATGGAAAGTCATCCCATGCTCTTGGCTAGGAAGAATTAATATTGTCAAAATGGCCATCCTGCCTAAAGCAATCTACAGATTCAATGCAATGCCTATTAAAATACCAACAGCATTCTTCAAAAAACTGGAACAAATAGTTTTAAAATTCATATGGAACCACCAAAGACCCCAAATAGCCAAAGAAATCCTGAGAAAGAAGAATAAAGCAGGGGGGATCTCGCTTCCCAACTTTAAGCTCTACTACAAAGCCACAGTAATCAAGACAATTTGGTACTGGCACAAGAACAGACCCATAGACCAATGGAACAGACTAGAGAGCCCTGATATAAACCCAACCATATATGGTCAATTAATATATGATAAAGGAGCCATGGACATACAATGGGGAAACAACAGCCTCTTCAACAGCTGGTGTTGGCAAAACTGGACAGCTACATGTAAGAGCATGAAACTGGATCACTGTCTAACCCCATACACAAAAGTAAATTTGAAATGGATCAAAGAC